TAATAATTTTAATAATTATTTTTTAATATCATTTATGATCAACAATTATTATAAAAATATGTTTTCAACAATTTTTTGTCATTTAATATTTTAAGTATATTTTGGTTTCATAGATTGACGAATAATAACTTAGTCCATAAATTGTGTTGTATTTGCCTTTTTCCACTTTTTAACATATTTTTGAGACTAAAACAATTTCTTTTTCGAAAAATTTTGCTAATACTGACTGAAAAATTATCATTAGATCGACATTGATATTATTTGAACTTGTTTTGATTGTTTTTGAGCAAATGTTATTGAAAATAAACACAAAACTTGGTCAAGAACAGTGTTATTTTTATCTTTTTCAAAGTTTTTAAACATATTCTTGAAATTTTTTTGTGAGATTAAAATTGAAAAGGTCACCAAATTAAGTTAAAATATCATAATTTTTGTCATATTTAGGGAGACTAAATTTTTTAACCAGAAACGCAAAATTTTGTTAAAAATAAACCGCAACATTTAAATAAATTTTCAACAATTATTTTGTCGTTTAATATTTCAAATGTTTGATTTTAATTCGATAGATCGACGAGGAACAAATCGTGTCATCAACTGGTGCCCTTTCCCTGAAAGAAGTACCTAAACGCCTAATCGTAATCGGAGCCGGTGTGATCGGTCTCGAATTAGGTTCAGTTTGGTCTCGATTAGGATCAGAAGTAACTGCTGTGGAATTTCTAAGTAGTATCGGAGGTGTAGGAATCGACGGCGAAGTAGCTAAAACTTTACAAAAAGTGTTAACTAAACAAGGATTGAAATTCAAATTGGGCACAAAAGTAACAGCAGCACAAAAATCAGGAGGAATTGTTAAAGTCAGCATTGAAGATGCGAAAAATCCCGATAAGAAAGAAGAGGTTGATAAAACGCAACAATTTTTTTTTGTAAAATTAATCAATTTTTGATTTTAGTTGGAATGTGAAGTATTGTTAGTTTGTGTGGGTCGCAGACCTTATACTCAAAATCTTGGTCTTGAAGAGATGGGAATCGAACGGGATCAGAAAGGACGAATTCCTGTCAACTCACACTTCCAGACTGTTATTCCTAATATCCATGCGATAGGTGACTGTATCCATGGACCCATGCTGGCCCACAAAGCCGAAGATGAAGGTAACGATAAAAAAATTAACAAAAAGTTCTATTGGTAACACTGACTGTATTATATTGACAATTTACTAAGAAATTGTAACGTTTGAATTTTGATAGACAATGTTGCCAACTTAATTTCGAAGTTACAGAGAGTATTCTCAGATCTGATCACTAGATTTGGTGATTTTTTTGTTAGTCTAATGTTTTGCTGAAAACTTGAAAAATTCTAATGTCAAGAAATTAATACATTTTTTTAAAATCGAGTATTTCCCCGAACATTAAATAGAATTTTACTTTTTTGACTGAGCAATCGCCAAGGAACAAAATTCGATTTTTTAACCATTGAAATAACAATTATTAGGTCCAAAAAAGACACTATTTTTTTATATTTTTCGAGAATTTTTTTGCTAGAAACTCAATTTTTGTTGACTATTTTCTCAAATGTAATTCGAAAAATCACCGAATTAGTTAAAAAATATTTTTTTATTTATTACGAGATTTCACTAAAGGGAGTCCATAAATTGCTGAATTGAGTCGTAAATGGCAGTATATTTTTTCTCTTTTCGAGTGTTTTCACACATTTTTTAGATAGAAACGCAATTATTTCACAAAAATTTGTTAAAACCGATCTAAAAACTTACCAGATGAAGCCAAAAATGTTGTTATTTTTGTCTTTTTTGTGTTTAAATACGTTTTGAGATAAGAACAAACTTTTTTCGAAATTTTTTTATTAATACTGTGCAAAATTGCCAATTAAGATCGAAATTGATATTAATTTTGCTTATTTGGCTTTATTACTTTGTTTTTGGACCAAAAGCTCATTTATTATAAACACGCCTAAAAATCACAAAAATAAAACGAAATCAATGTTATTTAGTTTATTTCACTCGATTTTGTTTGTTTTCGATCGAATTAAAAAAAAAATAAGCCGAAAAATCACATACTTTGGTTGTTTTTGAACTAAATTGTAAGATTACATTTAGACCGAATGAAGAACTCATCAAATTAAGTTGGAAATTACATTTTTTTTCATTTTTCGAGCATTTTGCATGTTTTTCAACCAGAATTAATTATTATTAAGTAATTATTTGGAAAATTTCATTAAAAACAAGCCGAAAATCGTATAATTTTTGACTTTTTAGGCGTTTTAGTATGTTTTTCAAGTAAAAATGTAAACATTTTACAAAATTTTCTTTAAAAACAAGCTAAGAATTTATTAAATTATACAAAAAATTGATGTATTTCTGTTTTGTTAAGCACGTTTTAGAGATAAAAGCAAACTTTTGTCGAAAAATCTGCCTCAACTAAATGAAAAATCAACAAATTACATCGACATTGATATTATTTTTGCTTGTTTCGATTGATTTAGTTCGTTTTTGAGCAAGAGACTCATTTATTTTGCAAACTCTTACCAAAACACACCTAATAATTATAAAATAAGTCGACATTGATGTTGTTTTTGTTTTTAGGCTAGTTTTTAAGCGAAAGTGTGGCAAAAATAAGGCGGAAAAAAAAACAGAAAATTTGGTCGAGAATAGTGCTATTTTTACCATTTTCAAGCTTTTAGGCATGTTTTTGAACAAAAATGTCAGTTTTTTTGGGAGATTTTACTAAAACAAATCGATAAATTACCAATTTACATTGTAGTCATAGATTAAAATTACATTTTTTTTTCAAAATTTCGTTAAACAGTCCCGAAAGATTACAGTGATAGGCCGAAAATTTTGAGCTAACAAGGTTATTTGCGAGTTTTATTTAAAAAAAAACTAAACCTTTAACATTAATTAGTCAATTGTATTTCAAAAAGTATTAATTGTAATTCAGAACCGTAAACTGAATTTCAGAAACCAGATGTAATTCAGATTAATTAATTTAACTTCAGAAAGCGTAAATTGAAATTCAGATTAGTTAACTGTATTTCAGAAAGTGTTAGTTATAATTCAGAGTTTGTCATTTGTAATTGAGAATTAGTCAATTGTAATTCAGAATTCGTTATTTTCATTTAAAAATTACGTTACCAAAATTCCTTTGAAAATAAAATATCTTATTTATTTTGCAAAATGGCAAGTTTAATTTAATTCTGAAAATAAAATAACTCGTGTTTATGTGTAAACTTCATTTTGAGATAACAGTAAGTTACTCATCTGAATTACAATTGATATTTTCTGGATTACATGTAACATGAAATTGAATTTATTTACTGTTCTATATTACATTTAATGGTTTCTGAATTACAATTATTACTTTATGAAATACAATTGACTAAACTGAATTCCAATTTATGCTTTCTGAAATTAAATTAACTAATCTGAATTACATCTCATGCTTTCTGAAACTCATTTTACTCTTCTGAATTACAATTAACATTTTCTGAAAGACAATTTAAATTTCAATTTACGCTTTCTGAAACTAAATTGACTAATCTGAATTACATGTGATGGTTTCTGAATTACACTTGAAAAGGGTGTAGAAATGTACAGGGTGCTGCATTTTGAATATCCGAATAGGGAATCTCCGAAACTAAGATGTTTAGCCAAAAACGAGTGATACATTCTGGGGCTCATTTTTTGAGAAAATAATATTGTTTAAAACCGTATCCCGCTATCGTCTTTTGTTTTCGACTTACAGACAAAAGTTGATATTTTGGCGAAATCTAAAAAAAAATATATCTTCGTTATTATAGAAGATACGGATTTGAAATAAAGACATTATACAGGCACTTTTTTACGAGGAATTTAATAATGTAGTTAACATTTTTTTCAGTTATTGTTTTAGCCGTAACAAGATAAACTTGTATTTTTTTAAATGGAAATCATAGGCGGCTATGTCATTTTTAAAAAGCTTGTTTTTTTCTTATGTAAATTTATGTATATTTGTAACAAATTATTATAATACATTTTTAGCAGAAAATTATGCAGCACCCTGTACATAATTGTCTATTTTTGTCCAGGTATTATCTGCGTGGAGGGAATCACCGGCGGTCCCGTTCATATCGACTACAACTGCGTCCCATCGGTGATTTACACTCATCCGGAAGTAGGCTGGGTGGGTCGTAGCGAGGAAGACTTGAAGAGCGAAGGAATCGATTACAAAATTGGAAAATTCCCCTTCATGGCCAACTCTCGAGCAAAGACCAATAACGAAACTGACGGTTTCGTCAAGGTTTTGGCTGATAAAGCAACAGATCGCATTTTGGGAACACACATAATCGGTCCCTCTGCCGGTGAACTGATTAACGAAGCTGTGTTGGCACAGGAATATGGAGCGTCGAGTGAAGATGTCGCCAGGGTGTGTCATGCTCATCCCACGTGTGCGGAGGCGTTAAGAGAGGCCAATTTGGCGTCGTACTTCGGGAAACCGATTAACTTTTAATTTGACTTAAAAGCTGCCCATATTTTGTTTTGTGTAAATATCTTCTCAGTGCGCTTAAGGTTAATATCGAACGAAAAGTAATAAGGTTATTATTTATAATAAAAATGGTTGATTTTGTGTTGGTCATCATTTCAGTCAAATTGTGTTATTGTTGTTCAAATTGATCGATTGCGTCAGTTTGATGGACTAGAATAAGTTTTATTAAATAAAGTACATACACTAATTAGATTGTTTTTTTTTCAATCATGCTGTATAATAAAAGCAAATATGTATAAATTAGATCAAATGACAGAGCAAAGCCGTGTTTACCAATGTGCAAAATTTCACTCATCTACAGAGTGTTCCGTCTAAACCCCACATTAAAAGTCATAGTCCTCCTAAATGAAAATATTTTCAAGATGGCAGCACTTCCGGTTATACCGTAAGTCGGTTTCAACTTTGTTATTTTAAGTGGAAAGGTATATTTTTTACTGCGTTTTTGGATTAATCGGGTTATTTTAAGGTTTTGAAATATTTGGAGTTTTTCAAAAAAATTTAAATCTGCACCTTCTTTAAAAATTGGTAACTCTGCTACTTTTTAAAATTTTTTTGGCGTTTGAAAGAGAAAGTTTAGATCTTTCTTCCGGTGTTTTCAAATTTTGAAAAAAAAAATAACAAACTCTAAAATTTTAAAGTTACTTTTGTAATAATTCAAATACCCATAACTCAATTTTTCCAAATGAAATACCTCAATTTTTATTTTACTAAATGGAAGAGAATTTAATTCTGCATCCATCTGTATTAACATTCCCTATACCAAAATTTAATAATTTTTAAGTTATGGTGACTTTTCGTTAAGACTGCCGAAAATCTATTACGTTTTCGTATAGTTTGCTATGGAAATCAAAAATGTCAAAATTGTTTCTCAATAAACGTCGACAGTGACTTATTATTTGACAAATAGGGCCAAAATATGGAGTCAAAGCTACTCAAACTTAGATTTGATTAATTTATTTTGTATTAATGGAAAGTGTAACAAAATTATGATGTCGTTCATTAAACAAAAATAAATTTTTCTCACTTGTTGGCTTTAAATAATGATCGCATAGTAGAACCTGTCAATAATAATTAAGTTTTGCATAACTTTGATTCTTTATATTTTGGCACTATTTGTCAAATAGTAATTTACCGTTGACGTTTGTTTAGAGAAAATTTAGACATTTTTTATTTCCATAGCAAACTATGTGAAAACGGGTGTGGCTGGTAATAAATTTTCTGTAGTCTTAACAAAAAGTCCATAGCTTAAAAATTATTAAATTTAGGTATAGGGAATGTTAATACAGATCAATGCACAATTTAATTCTCTTTTATTTAGTAAAATTAAAATTGGGGTATTTTATTTGAAAAAATTGAGTTATGAGTATTTGCATTATTAAAAAAGTAACCTTAACATTTTGGGATATGTTTTTTTTTTTAATTTGAAAACACAGAAAAAGGATCCAAGCTTTCTCTTTCAAACGCCAAAAAAACGAATTCAAAATCTTAAAAAATGGCAGAGTTACCGATTTTTAAAGTGGAAGGTGCAGATCCAAAAATTTTTGAAAAACTCCAAATATTTCAAAAACGGATAAACTTATGTATAGGGAAAACATAAAATAACCCGATTAATCCAAAAACGCATTAAAAAATATACCTTTCCATTTAAAATAAGAAAGTTAAGACCAACTTCCGGTCTAACCGGAAGTACCGCCATCTTGAAAATATTTTCATTTAGGAGGACTTAATGCATTATGGCTATGTACCAATTTTCAAACAAATATGATTATTCGAACTCCCAACACTTTTAATGTAGAGTTTAGACGGAACACTCTGTATAACTTGGCAACGCTATAATCGAAAACTAAAAAGAGGAAACGATTTTATACCATCTAGCAAAAAATTATTTATTTGAAAAAAAAAATTGGATACGGTCCTGAAATTAAATTTCTAAAAATTTCAATTGTAATCTAAATAGTTTAAAAAGTTAATGCAAATTATCATAATTTAACGAAATTGAAAAAAAATGTAAAAAGATCCAGGTCTAGCTATTTTGATCAGGCTGTCACAAAGCTCCCACTCCCGGGCGCGATCCCACTACTGAACGACACGGGGACTTTTGGCTGCTGGGTTTCCCCCCTGGCCCGGTTCGCCCCTCCTTAGCTGACCTGGACACCTCAGACTCCTCCTAGGTGTCCATATCGATGCCGATCTTAGTGCGGACGCCCAGTCAACGTGGAAAGCTTTGCAACAGGACTCCCAATCTCAAACCATCCTCTGAACCCGACCTCCAAGAAGCTGGATTACAGGAGTGCGCCACGCTCCCAGTCGATATTTACTGTGTTGTACCGGTAATATAAGCTACCGAAGAGAACGTTGACCTTTATTTTTCTTTATTACTAATAAAATCTGCTCTAGCCAAATATTAGACAATTATTTGACTTAAATAGAAAGTAATGTAATATTTTATCATTTCTTTTATAATTATTTTGAAAAATCATAATTATGAGTTTTTTTATTTAGAAATTAATTTGTGTTGGCTGTTTCCCATAAATCATTTTTGAAATATGGACTTCCTTTTTCAAGTGTAATTCAGAAACCATCACATGTAATTCAGATTAGTCAATTTAGTTTTAGAAAGCGTAAATTGAAATTTAAATTGGTCAATTGTCTTTCAGAAAATGTTAATTGTAATTCAGAAGAGTAAAATGAGTTTCAGAAAGCATGAGATGTAATTCAGATTAGTTAATTTAATTTCAGAAAGCATAAATTMGAATTCAGWTTAGTCAATTGTATTTCATAAAGTAATAATTGTAATTCAGAAACCATTAAATGTAATATAGAACAGTAAATAAATTCAATTTCATGTTACATGTAATCCAGAAAATATCAATTGTAATTCAGATGAGTAACTTACTGTTATCTCAAAATGAAGTTTACACATAAACACGAATCATTTTATTTTCAGAATTGAAGAATTACATAAACTTGCTATATTTTACAGATTAAATAAGATATTTTATTACAAAATGTAATTTTTAAATGAAAATAACGAATCCTGAATTACAATTGACGAATTCTCAATTACAAATGACAAACTTCTGAATTATAACTAACACTTTCTGAAATACAATTAACTAATCTGAATTTCAATTTACGCTTTCTGAAGTTAAATTAATTAATCTGAATTACATCTGATGGTTTCTGAAATTCAGTTTACGGTTCTGAATTACAATTAATACTTTCTGAAATACAACTGACTAATCTAAATTACACTTAGCGTTTTCTGAAATATATCTTACGCTTTCTGAATTACACTTGGAAAAAGTGTAGATTAGCATTCTGACTTATTTCGTTTTGTGTTTGCGAATCAAAAAACAAACGTAAATTATTTTTATTAAAATAAGTGTTCATTGTGAGAGAAGAATCTATGTTTATAGTCCAATAGTTTTTTAGATTGATAAGTAAAATCAGACCGATTTACAATGAAATTTTTGTATTAATAATCTCACAAAATATGGGTTATTGTAATAAATACAATTCTAAAAATATAAAATTTGCTTTAATTCAATACACATTTAATAAATAGGAAAATAAAATAACACAGCCTTACAAATAAAACCTTAACAATAACAAGCAATCTAAAAAAAGTACTTATTTGCTTTTTATTAATAACGGAAACGGGGATATTGACTAGGGTGACTGAAGTCTAATACATTTTGAGGGAGTAGATACCACTCACTGGTTAAAGTGCTCTTTTTTTAATGGATATTTCGTTGGGAATTGGGATTAAAGATTTGGAACTTAGTCTGAAGAAAATTCTGCAAGAATTATTAAATTAAACGAGACTCAAAAAAAATGCAAAGAGCGTTTCTAAAACAACCCAAAACAAACATTTTTTAAATACTCTAAACAGAACAAATTTTTATTATGTTTTTGCAAAATTCTTTTGATAGTTTTTTTTGTTTTATATTTTTTGAATGCAAATATAGCAACGACCAAAATTAAATCAGGAATTTTATTTCTTTGAGTATAAAAGTTCAGAGAGTCCCTTTAAAATTTATCCATTACAAAAACGCTTCAAAGAAAATCTCTAACACGTAATAAACAATATAATTGTAACAATTTATTATAAAATTAGTCGTTTTAACATAAAAGCCATAATACACTGACAAAGAAAGATTTAAGCTCTTGTTACTTTGGGTCCACTCATCATTTTTTCTCTTATTGCCCATCTCAAGTCAGTTCTATTGTCTTCACCTGGAATTTTCTGTCGCTTCCAACACATCTGATACTGGTGGTACAAGGCCACAGGGTCATTCTTTTTATTCGTTTGAACTGCAGGTCTTATGACTACAAAATAAAGAGTGAAACAACATAAGTCTAACTTTAAATACTTACAGGAACCTTTAGGCTTATGAGAACTAGTCACTTTTTTAGCAGGTACATCTTTAACAGGTACAAAATCAAGCGAGTCTTCTGTACTCTTCCTAGGGGCTGTTTGTGGCTCAGTCGTGGTTTCCTGACAATGATGTGATGCCTTACTAGTCTTGATTTTCAATGAAATCACACTTTCTTTTTTTGGAACAATTTTGGCTCTTGAAGAATGAGTCCCTTGTGAATGTAAAACTACAAATACATCATCTTTGCTGTCTTTCCTCGATTCTTTTGGCACTGATGTATTTTCAATACTTTGTTCTCTTCGTTTTCGTTCTTCATACTTTATCAGTTTCTTCAAGTCTAAAAACCCAACTTTTGAAAAATCGAAGAGAAAAAAATCACTCACCAACCGTAAACAAATTCTTTCAGTTGTTGCGGGTTTACGTTATGATAACCCAAGTCGTTTAAATATTCCAACACTTCTCTAGGGCTAATTTTTGTTGCCATACTTTAAAAAATCACAATATTAAAAGTAATTAAAAAAATAAAATACGTTGAGCAAAACATTAAATCTATCGACAACACAAAGACAACAAATTCCCCTAAATGAAAAAACAAAATAACAGTTACTACATTGTATAATCGGTTAATTTTTACAAAAACTTAAAGTTTGACAAATATTTCATGTTATTAATAAAAATGGGATTAATAGTATTGGAAAATTGATTTCTTTCCAGTCAGTTACTTTCGTGACCATTGGTATTCCTGGCTGTTAATCATATGATTGTCAAAAAAATGTCAGGTGGAAGTGTCAGTAAACAAAAACAATCTTTTTCAAATTTAAAAAATGAAATGGATAAGTATGAAGTTATTAAATTATTGGGAGAAGGATCATTTGGTCGAGTTTACAAAGCGAAAGTTGTCGCAGATTCAACTTTTGTTGCATTAAAAGTTATCTGTAAAGTGAGTATAAACACTGGTGCTTGAATTAGTTTAATTTAATTTATTTTAGGGTCGAAGATCGAATAAAGAAATAGTTGGTTTACGAAGGGAGTGTGAAATACAAAGACATTTACATCATCCAAATATTATACAAATGCTTGACTCGTTTGAAACACCAAGTGAGGTTAGAAATTCTTCGCATCTAAATGGTAGGCAACCAACAATACTCTCTTCAATTTTACAGATCGTAGTGGTCACTGAATTTGCCCAAAAAGAACTCAATACGGTCTTGGGCAAAGAAGGTTATTTGTCGGAAGAACGAGCCACTCCAATTATTTGGGACTTGGTATCAGCTCTCAACTATTTACATTCGCATCGAGTTTTACACAGGTGACAATTTTGTAATTTTTAATAGTTTTTCCGTTGATCGTTTTATTAATGGATTTTTAAATGATCCAATATTATTGATAGAATGATGACAGAAAAGTAACTAGGTTGCCGACATTCTCCGCTCAGAAAGTAGTACTTTTGAAATTTCGCAGGAAAGTACATTTTAGTAGGAATGTCTGTTCATGAGCAGCTTTATTATTGCACACAGTAGTATAAGTGTGTTTCGGCGCTGGGACCTAAAAAGTTAATAATTTGAATGTTAGTCGATGTATCCTAACCTCCAAAAATTGTAATGAAAACGTTTAGAATAATTGCACACATCTTAGTTGTGGGATGGTTGGTAACATCATTCATGGCATTCTCCATGGCACAGTTTTCCCTATTTTAAAACATTTACAATAAAAAAGTGTCAAAATTCTGTCAAAACACTCCGCGTAGAAATATCCGGACGTATTGCGATACCAACCCAACATGTTTCAAGTTACTGCAATTTATAAATTTTAGCACTGGTTTTAGCTTAGCGATTCTAGTACTTTTCTTGTTATAGAGTTTTTCACCAAGATGTCAAAATAGTAAAATCTACAAACATAAACCACGTGCCTCGTGTGCATACCAAATTGTGCGGGTCAGTGTGTGGATGTGTGGGTATACAAGTTTTATGTGTTTGAAACCCATGTGGTTTAGGTTTTATGTGAATAAAACAGTGAAACATTTGCCACAGTGTAAATTGTATCTTCCAGTTAGAAATTTACAAAGGTGAGCTGTATTTTGTCTGGTTTTTTCATATACTCTAAGAAAACATGGAATAACTTTTTCTCCACGACCACTAGTGAGTGTAGTAATACCGAAAACATTTTTAATAATAGAAAGTTTCTCATTCTTGAGATGGAGTATTTATCCTGAAACACTTGTTTCTTATGTGTTTTGCATGTATTTTCATTCTATCAAGCGATCAAGATAATTTGTAATCGAGTCATCCTTGGATTCGAAAACGTATGTCTGTAAAATGTCAAATAAAATGACAAGTCGAAAGGTAAAATGGCATGATCAAAAAGGTGTTGATTATAATAATTAAATTTATAATTTACTTTCAAAAAAGAACGGTCTTACTCCTATTATTATACGTCGGCGACTAATTCCAGCCCATTTTGCCGTTTTACTCTTCGACTTGTCATTTTATTTGACGTTTATCATTTTGCTAAGACCTACTAAAAATTTTATTACTTTTAAGTTAAATGCGGTATTGTTAAGAGTAAACCAGAGGGTAAACAAATCATAAATTAGTGGAACCCACCCAGACCCTGAAACATGTCAGTTTTTAACAGGGCCGGATTATTTACTTTCTGTTTGTCTAAAATACTTGAAATATTTTAATAGTTTTTGATGTAGTCAAGTATTTTAAGAAATTTAAAAAAGTCAGGTTATTATTAAATAAAGCAGATTTTTTTTAATAATAGCTTGGTAAAACTCTACCACTACTTTGGTTTTAAATACGGCCCTGTTTTATTCTGGTGGGTGCAGCAACACTTGCAAAAGAACGTGCCATTTATGGAGGGTTACAAATTAAAGCCATTGTTTGGTTAATCTCTTATAATGTGTCATAAAATTTTTAGTAGGTCTAAGGAAAACGATTTTTCTATACGTTCTCGGATGCAAAGATGACTCGATTACAAATTATCTTGATTGCTCGATATAACAAGTAAGTTACTTGAAGTAACTGAATGAATATTCTATAAATTATACTCAACGAAATACATACAGTCGAACAAAATGAAAATGACGCCTCAATAAACCAGCCCCTGCTAGATGCCGACCCTTCTAACCGCAAGCAGACAGGGTCGTAAACTATCGGATTGCAGTTTCAATATAAATTCCTTTTGGAGCCGGTTTACAGAAAGCCAAATTAAAATTTTATTCAGAATTAAACTAATTCGAATTAATTTGCCATTTACTTTGCATTGACAAACGTCAAATTAATTAAATGAAAATATTGAATTTTTTTAATGAAAAATTTAACAAACCATTTCTTAAAGAAAATTATGCATTAATAATGATATTGACAAAAAAGCAAATCATTATTAACTTAATATTTTTTTTAACTGTTTTTTCAAAATAAAATTAATTAACATAATTTTTGAACGAAATAGGTTTTCTCTATTTTAAACTAGATTTTATGTAAAACAACAAATGTATTAAACTATTGTTTATTTGTGCGAAGAAAAATTAATTCCACGTGTGCCTTTACCACGAGTGGTGTAATTCTTTGAGTAGAAGCGAAATTAAAATTTAATTCCGAATTAGGGGTAAACTAATTTGAATTAAGTTGCCATTTATTTTGCATTGACAAACGTCAAGTTTAAAATTTAATTGTGATTAACACGTTCTGTAAACCGGCTCTAAGTTTTCTATTAGTTTTGCAATTGAAAGACGAAAACGAATCAAAATTCTTTATTTAATTAAACCAGGAAAGAAACGGCAAAATTATTTCAAATATTTTAGTTCTGCTTTTATTTTTTGATAATTGTAATACTTTTAAATTAAATAAAAACGTTTAGTTTTATAACAACACAATTTAACAAAAACCAGTTCTTAAAGAAAATCATGCATTC